TTAGAACAAGATATGGGCATTATGAGTTCCTGGTAATGCCTTTTGGACTCACTAATGCACCAGCGGTATTTATGGCTCTTATGAACAGAGTTTTCCATGAATATCTTGATAAGTTTGTGATTGTGTTCATAGATGATATTCTCATCTATTCTAAAAGCGAGGAGGAGCACAAAACTCACCTTAGAATTGTGTTGCAAATTCTAAGGGAGAAACAATTATATGCAAAATTCTCAAAATGTGAGTTTTGGCTGAAGGAGGTAATATTTCTGGGACATGTAATTTCTGGAAGAGGTGTCGAGGTGGATCCGAAAAAGGTGGAAGCAGTGGTGAGTTGGACTCCACCAAAAGATGTGTCGGAGTTGAGAAGTTTTCTTGGCATGGCTGGTTATTATCGGCGGTTTGTCGAAGGATTTTCTAAAATTGCTGCACCATTGACTAAACTGTTGAGGAAGAATACTAAGTATGTTTGGGATGAATCATGTCAAAAGAGTTTTGATGAACTGAAAAAGAGATTGACCACAGCACCAGTACTTGCACTACCTTCAAGTCAGGGAGAGTTTGTGGTGTATAGTGATGCCTCGTATCAAGGATTGGGCTGTGTGTTAATGCAAGATGGAAGAGTTATCGCATATGCCTCTAGGCAATTGCGTCCTCATGAAGTAAATTATCCCACTCATGACTTAGAATTGGCAGCGGTGGTATTTGCTCTCAAGATTTGGCGACATTATTTGTATGGTGAGACTTTTAAAATTCTAACTGATCACAAAAGCTTGAAGTATATTATGGATCAGAAGGATTTAAATAGTCGCCAGAGGAGATGGATAGAGTTGTTGAAAGATTATGATTGTACCATTGATTACCATCCAGGTAAAGCTAATGTAGTTGCGGATGCCCTAAGCAGAAAGGGGAAGAAGAATATAAATGATCTGGTTGATTTGAGGGCAATGAATGTGGATTTGGAAGTGGATGGTGTGATAGGGTTACTAGCTCGGTTGAACATTCGACCTTTGTTGCACGACAAAATTCGTGAGAAGCAGAAGGAGGACCCAGAGTTGGTAAAAATCATTCAAGACATTCAGGAAGGAAAAGAAAGCCCATTTGAAATGGTAGATGGCATGTTGAAGATTAATGGAAGAGCATGTGTTCCTAATGTTGATAACTTGAGGAAAGAGATCCTAGATGAAGCTCATTCTTCTGCTTATGCTATGCACCCAGGAGCAACTAAAATGTATCACACGATCAAACCATATTTTTGGTGGCGTGGGATGAAAAAGGAAGCGGCTGAACATGTTTTCACATGTCTAGTATGTCAGAAAGTTAAGGCAGAACATCAAGCTCCCGTGGGAAAACTGCAACCACTTCCAATTCCAGAATGGAAGTGGGAAAGAATCACAATGGATTTTGTATATGGTCTCCCATCATCAAGGGGAAAAGATGCAGTATGGGTTATTGTGGACCGACTAACCAAATCGGCTCACTTTTTACCCATTAGATGGAAACCATCACTGGAGACTTTGTCTCAACTATATATTAAGGAGATCGTCAGATTGCATGGTGTGCCAATTTCTATTGTCTCTGATCGAGACCCGAGCTTCACATCTCGGTTTTGGCAAAGTTTACATGATGCCTTGGGAACTAAATTACATTTTACTTCAGCTTATCATCCTCAAACAGATGGGCAGAGTGAACGAACCATCCTAACCTTGGAGGAATTACTTCGATCATGTGTAATGCAATGGGAGGAATCATGGATTGACCATTTGCCCTTAATTGAGTTTGCTTACAACAACCAGTACCATAGTAGCTTGGGTGTTCCACCATATGAAGCACTTTATGGGAGGAAGTGTAGAACACCATTATGTTGGGATATAGAAGGAGCAAGGCAAATCTCAGGGCCAGAGATAGTTCAGATCACAGTTGACAAGGTCAAGGAAATCAGGGAGCGTTTGAGGGTGGCTCAAGATCGACAGAAAGTTTATGTTGACACGAGTAGGCGTGAAGTTAATTTCGAAGTGGGTGAGAAAGTATTTCTCAAAGTGTCACCTTGGAAAGGCGTAATGAGATTTGGTAAGAAAGGGAAACTTGCACCTCGGTATATTGGGCCATATGAAATCACAGAGAAGATTGGACCAGTGGCTTATAAGTTAGCATTGCCTCCAGAACTATCTCAAATCCACAATGTATTTCATGTTAGTATGCTGAAGAGGTACAAAGTGGATCCTTCCCATGTCATACAACCGGAAGAGATCGAGTTGGGTCCAGATTTAACTTTTGAGGAGGTTCCAGTTGAGATTGTTGATTTTCAGATTAAGACTCTTCGCAGGAAAGAAATTCCAATGTTGAAAGTGGTGTGGAGAAATCAAGATAGTGAGAGTGCTACCTGGGAAACTGAAGCAAGTATGCGAGAGAAGTACCCTGAGTTAGTAGCAACCTACTTTGCAGGTTAACAATCTTGCCTAGTAAGTTATGTTTTGAACTTGTTGATGTGCTTTTGTTGTGATAGCCCAGTATAGGTTTTTGAAACCTAAACATGGGAACTTGAGGTGTTATGTGTTACTCTCTATGTTATGAATCTCCTAACCTAAAAGTAAGGTAGTAACAAGATTTGTGATAGTGTAGGTTAGGGGGGGAACGAGCGGATTTGTAACATCGATTCAAGAATAGATTTCGGGGACGAAATCTTTTAAGGAGGGGAGAATTGTAACATCCCGTTCCGGCAAAACCCATATTTCGATCGCTAGAAAGTTCGCGATTTAAAATCGAGCATTTCGACACTATTTCGGCGAAAATCGGATTATCGATCGATCGGATAAGTATACGTATTAATTATATATATATATATATATATATACACGGGACATTTAATTCCCTTCCCAGACAAACTCTCCAGAAACCATATCAACTTCTTCTTCTTTTTAGTTTCCGCGAGAGAAGTAGAGAAACAGAGCGTTCGGGGGAAAAATTCTCCAGCTCAAATTCTTGAGCCCTAGTGATCCAAAAATCCCGTAAGTAATGCCTAATTCATCTATTCATCGTGATTTATCGATTTAGAGCTTTAAAACGAGTTTTTGGTTCAGGAATTTCTTGAATTCCCGATCTGCCAGATTAGGGTTTCGGAGTATCCGGAAGCCGGATTGAGCCCAAATTTCATATACGAGCTTCCTGCAGCGAGGTAATCAATCCTCTAGTTCTAATCTCTGAATTTCGGCAATTATTTAGGCCGGGGTCCAAACCGCTGAATTTAGCTCCGGCCAGGGTTTGATGTGTTTTTATCGAGAATTAAACCCGGAGCCTAGAACTAATATTGACGGGGATACTGCAGGGGATATTAGGACGGTCTCGGATTTTAATTCGGGGTTCGTTCGTGAAATTGACGTTTTAGTACGGGAAGGTTAAATCGGGGTTTGAACGACCAGAACTGGTGAGGGATTAGCACGGCATACCGGGTTTGTCGTATCACGATAATTATATTGATGCTTAGAATTGATCTAGGTGAACTAGAATGGCATGATTAGGGGTGTATTGACTTTTGTGCTATATGATGAACCCTGGACTACTGTATGATATTATTGACTTGCTCTAATCGATATGAACCTTGTTTATGTGGATGATTTCCTACATGTTGTCATTTGTGGCTTAACTGTTGATATGACTTTATGGTTGTTCGATAAGGGTTTTTGACATGGTGTGATATTATGGTTGTATTTGGATCCATAAGTGGGGGAATAAACTTCCCAAGGTGATATTATGATGTTTAAGGAGGATGACTTGCACGAGGGTTTATCCCGAGGAAGTGCAATTATACGACTCCTGATTTACCTATGTTGAGCCAATTATGGTCAGGTAAAGTACATGTGCAAGTAACGAATTGTGATTAAGCAAGATGAGATATGAATCATGTATAAGGATACCAAATATGAGTGTTATGGTCTCACGGTCAACTACATAGTAATTAGGGCTCCCTATGCTATTACTCTATTATGATATGTATGATAGTCACACCTCTCATATGGTGGTGACTGAAGAATTCTTATGAGATATGACCACACCCAGAGCGGTGTCGGGGTATGACTACACCCATAGTGGTGTGGGGTATGTATGACCACATCCGACGGGATGTTGGGGTATGTATGACTACATCCGACGGGATGTGGGGTATGTTTCCCGGGAGAGTTATTAGCATGGGAGTAGCCAGGCGCCTATGATTAAAACATGATAAGATGCATATGCATAAGTCAAAGTGGTTGAGTCTTTTGCTTATTGGGATATGAGGATGATTGAGGTCCGATCCTAGTGTTTTGGCTGGTTTGCTAGATGTATGGTAGGGGTATGCTCTGTTATGAACTCACGATGCTATGATTATCTCACTCAGCTATGAGCTGACCCTCTTTTATTCTTCTTCTCTGCTTATGCTATGTGTAAGCAGATCATCAACAGCAGCAGTAGATAAGTGTTAGGTAGGAGAGGAGCTAGAGTTGAAGCCAGGATGAGGTATGGTCTTCAACTACTCTGTGCTTGGACTACTACTCGGGATTTTGGCCAGTGATCCACACCTTTTTGTAAAAATGTTTTGAGAACGTTTTTCATGTGCATACTAGCTTCTGATGTAGTGTGAGATATCCACAGGTGTGGAAAGTTGATGATATGTGTATATTTGTGTAACTGTGTAAGTTGTGACGATTATGGTATGTATAAGTTTGGTATGTAGTTGTGTAGTATGAAAGTGTGACTATGGCTAAGAAAAGCCAATGCATATGGTTGTGAGTATATATGTTTGTGATGAATTATTTTGCAGGTTAAGTTGCAAGAACTGTTAGCCCATTACGCGAGTAATTCTTGTCGAAATTTTATTTAGGTAAATTTTGATAATTAATGTAACACCCGAGATTAATTCCGCTGCAATTGTATGAAAAATATGATTAGGAAAAACGTATAGGGTAGGGTGTTACAGTTTGGTATCAGAGCCCGGTTCCCTCTTTTTGCTGTTATGGCGTACTATACCCTATGGGAGGTTAAACACTCCTAAGGAGGGGAGTACCCCATAATGACTTAAACTGGGAATTGAGTTTTACATGATTATGTGTATTGATATATTGGATGAAATTACCTGCATCATGGTGTTCAAAATTGAGTTTTGAACTTATTTGTTTTCAAGTATTTATTTTGGGAAAATTTTTGTTTTAACCAAGTGAGAGATTTGGTGAAGAATGAATTTTGTGTGGATCAATCTAAGGCCAATATTTCCTTGTAGCTCGCACGGAAGTTGTGAAAATGTTCCTACTGACCAGTCGAGAGGAGTGGGGGCGGTTGATGCAAGACCGCCAGTATTAGATTATGCAAAGATGAAGAGTTTGGGTGGTAGGGACTTTAAGGGAGATGTGAGCCCAGATGCTGTAGTAGAGTGGTTGAGAGAGATGGAAGATGTGTTTGAATATCTTTATGCGACCCCAGAGGAAAAAGTACAATATGTTGTTTTTCTCCTAAAGGGGTACGCGAGGAGCTGGTGGTCTTCAGTCTCTAGAGTTAATGGTGAACGAGTTCAGTTCACCTGGGAGGAGTTCCTGAAGGCCTTTAAGACAGAGTTTCTTCCCGAAGCTTTTATCAGGGCAAAGAACAATGAATTTGCCAACCTTAAGCAGGAGAATATGACAGTTACTGAGTACACCATCAAGTTTGTTCGACTGCTTTACTTTGAGGATGGGTTGGCGGATACTGAGCAAAAGAAGAAGATGAGATACTTGCATGGTTTGCGCATAGGATTGAAAGAAAAGATCCACAGGGTTGATGAAGAGAGCATGGCCACAATCAAGGAGGCTGCACTTAAGTATGAAGCCTATGAAGTTGAGAGCCGAGAGGAACACAAGGCTAAAGAAGAGGAGAAGAAGAGGAAGTTTGGAGTAAATTATGCTGGACCTCGTTACCCACCCAGGAGAGGTCCTAGCAGTTTTGGGAGAACACAGAGTCAATCTATGTCGGGAACATCATACAGGGCACCAATTTCCTCAGCCACACAATTTCCATTTTGTCAAGTTTGTCAGAAGAGGCATCTTGGAGAGTGTAGGAGATTTTCTGGTGTATGCTTTCAGTGTGGCCAACCTGGGCACATCATGAGGGATTGCCCGCATGCGAGAGAAGTAAGAGCTACACAGTCCGAGCCTTCAGTGCAAATGAGTAGAGCCCCATTCAGGGGTGGTTACCAGGGAGGCCGCAGTGGACTTCAGAGTGGTCGTGGTGGTTCACAGGGTGGTAGAGGTGGTGGTCGAAATCAGCCATCAGGAAGTGGTACGCAGGGTACCAGAGCACAGGGAGCACCAAGGGTTTATGCAATGACTCGAGGTGAGGCAGAAGTGGCACCAGAAGTTGTGACTGGTATGCTTTCTATCCTTGGCAAGCAATTATATGCTTTGATCGATACTGGTTCCTCTCACTCATTCATGTCATATACGTTTGCACATATGCTACGCTTAGTTCCAGATAAGCTAGGTTATACCTTATGTGTTAAAACACCTGTGGGAGATACCTTGAAGGTAGACTCAGTTATTAGAAGTTCCTTCATTTGTGTGGAAGGAGCTTTCCTAGCAGCAGATTTAATTCTGCTACCTTTTGATGAATTCGATGTCATCCTTGGAATGGACTTTCTGGCAACACATGGAGCTGTTGTGGATTGTCAAAAGAAAGAAGTGTTATTCAGCACACCAGATAAAGGTCCTGTTGTATTCCGAGGCATTAAGAAAAAGGAGACTCATGGTTTTCTTTCTGCCTTGGAAGCTTTTCGATTAGTGAAGGAAGGTTGTGAAGCCTTTCTTGCTCAAGTTACTATAGTAAATGATAAGAAGGTTGAGGATGTAGAGGTGGTAAGGGAATTTCCTGATGTATTCCCCGAAGAACTTCCCGGCCTTCCACCAGAGAGGGAAGTAGAGTTTGATATTGAATTGGTACCTGGCACAACACCAATTTCAATGGCACCATATAGAATGGCACCAATTGAGCTGAAGGAGCTTAAAGAACAATTGCAAGAATTGTTAGACAAGGGGTTTATTCGACCTAGCATCTCACCTTGGGGTGCACCGGTTTTGTTTGTCAAGAAGAAAGATGGCTCCATGAGAATGTGCATTGACTACCGAAGGTTGAATAAGGCGACAGTGAAGAATCGTTATCCCCTTCCAAGAATAGATGATTTGTTTGATCAATTGCAGGGTGCATCGGTCTTTTCTAAGATTGATTTGAGGTCTGGATACCATCAATTGAAAGTGGCAGATGGAGCAACCTCAAAGACAGCTTTTAGAACAAGATATGGGCATTATGAGTTCCTGGTAATGCCTTTTGGACTCACTAATGCACCAGCGGTATTTATGGCTCTTATGAACAGAGTTTTCCATGAATATCTTGATAAGTTTGTGATTGTGTTCATAGATGATATTCTCATCTATTCTAAAAGCGAGGAGGAGCACAAAACTCACCTTAGAATTGTGTTGCAAATTCTAAGGGAGAAACAATTATATGCAAAATTCTCAAAATGTGAGTTTTGGCTGAAGGAGGTAATATTTCTGGGACATGTAATTTCTGGAAGAGGTGTCGAGGTGGATCCGAAAAAGGTGGAAGCAGTGGTGAGTTGGACTCCACCAAAAGATGTGTCGGAGTTGAGAAGTTTTCTTGGCATGGCTGGTTATTATCGGCGGTTTGTCGAAGGATTTTCTAAAATTGCTGCACCATTGACTAAACTGTTGAGGAAGAATACTAAGTATGTTTGGGATGAATCATGTCAAAAGAGTTTTGATGAACTGAAAAAGAGATTGACCACAGCACCAGTACTTGCACTACCTTCAAGTCAGGGAGAGTTTGTGGTGTATAGTGATGCCTCGTATCAAGGATTGGGCTGTGTGTTAATGCAAGATGGAAGAGTTATCGCATATGCCTCTAGGCAATTGCGTCCTCATGAAGTAAATTATCCCACTCATGACTTAGAATTGGCAGCGGTGGTATTTGCTCTCAAGATTTGGCGACATTATTTGTATGGTGAGACTTTTAAAATTCTAACTGATCACAAAAGCTTGAAGTATATTATGGATCAGAAGGATTTAAATAGTCGCCAGAGGAGATGGATAGAGTTGTTGAAAGATTATGATTGTACCATTGATTACCATCCAGGTAAAGCTAATGTAGTTGCGGATGCCCTAAGCAGAAAGGGGAAGAAGAATATAAATGATCTGGTTGATTTGAGGGCAATGAATGTGGATTTGGAAGTGGATGGTGTGATAGGGTTACTAGCTCGGTTGAACATTCGACCTTTGTTGCACGACAAAATTCGTGAGAAGCAGAAGGAGGACCCAGAGTTGGTAAAAATCATTCAAGACATTCAGGAAGGAAAAGAAAGCCCATTTGAAATGGTAGATGGCATGTTGAAGATTAATGGAAGAGCATGTGTTCCTAATGTTGATAACTTGAGGAAAGAGATCCTAGATGAAGCTCATTCTTCTGCTTATGCTATGCACCCAGGAGCAACTAAAATGTATCACACGATCAAACCATATTTTTGGTGGCGTGGGATGAAAAAGGAAGCGGCTGAACATGTTTTCACATGTCTAGTATGTCAGAAAGTTAAGGCAGAACATCAAGCTCCCGTGGGAAAACTGCAACCACTTCCAATTCCAGAATGGAAGTGGGAAAGAATCACAATGGATTTTGTATATGGTCTCCCATCATCAAGGGGAAAAGATGCAGTATGGGTTATTGTGGACCGACTAACCAAATCGGCTCACTTTTTACCCATTAGATGGAAACCATCACTGGAGACTTTGTCTCAACTATATATTAAGGAGATCGTCAGATTGCATGGTGTGCCAATTTCTATTGTCTCTGATCGAGACCCGAGCTTCACATCTCGGTTTTGGCAAAGTTTACATGATGCCTTGGGAACTAAATTACATTTTACTTCAGCTTATCATCCTCAAACAGATGGGCAGAGTGAACGAACCATCCTAACCTTGGAGGAATTACTTCGATCATGTGTAATGCAATGGGAGGAATCATGGATTGACCATTTGCCCTTAATTGAGTTTGCTTACAACAACCAGTACCATAGTAGCTTGGGTGTTCCACCATATGAAGCACTTTATGGGAGGAAGTGTAGAACACCATTATGTTGGGATATAGAAGGAGCAAGGCAAATCTCAGGGCCAGAGATAGTTCAGATCACAGTTGACAAGGTCAAGGAAATCAGGGAGCGTTTGAGGGTGGCTCAAGATCGACAGAAAGTTTATGTTGACACGAGTAGGCGTGAAGTTAATTTCGAAGTGGGTGAGAAAGTATTTCTCAAAGTGTCACCTTGGAAAGGCGTAATGAGATTTGGTAAGAAAGGGAAACTTGCACCTCGGTATATTGGGCCATATGAAATCACAGAGAAGATTGGACCAGTGGCTTATAAGTTAGCATTGCCTCCAGAACTATCTCAAATCCACAATGTATTTCATGTTAGTATGCTGAAGAGGTACAAAGTGGATCCTTCCCATGTCATACAACCGGAAGAGATCGAGTTGGGTCCAGATTTAACTTTTGAGGAGGTTCCAGTTGAGATTGTTGATTTTCAGATTAAGACTCTTCGCAGGAAAGAAATTCCAATGTTGAAAGTGGTGTGGAGAAATCAAGATAGTGAGAGTGCTACCTGGGAAACTGAAGCAAGTATGCGAGAGAAGTACCCTGAGTTAGTAGCAACCTACTTTGCAGGTTAACAATCTTGCCTAGTAAGTTATGTTTTGAACTTGTTGATGTGCTTTTGTTGTGATAGCCCAGTATAGGTTTTTGAAACCTAAACATGGGAACTTGAGGTGTTATGTGTTACTCTCTATGTTATGAATCTCCTAACCTAAAAGTAAGGTAGTAACAAGATTTGTGATAGTGTAGGTTAGGGGGGGAACGAGCGGATTTGTAACATCGATTCAAGAATAGATTTCGGGGACGAAATCTTTTAAGGAGGGGAGAATTGTAACATCCCGTTCCGGCAAAACCCATATTTCGATCGCTAGAAAGTTCGCGATTTAAAATCGAGCATTTCGACACTATTTCGGCGAAAATCGGATTATCGATCGATCGGATAAGTATACGTATTAATTATATATATATATATATATATATATACACGGGACATTTAATTCCCTTCCCAGACAAACTCTCCAGAAACCATATCAACTTCTTCTTCTTTTTAGTTTCCGCGAGAGAAGTAGAGAAACAGAGCGTTCGGGGGAAAAATTCTCCAGCTCAAATTCTTGAGCCCTAGTGATCCAAAAATCCCGTAAGTAATGCCTAATTCATCTATTCATCGTGATTTATCGATTTAGAGCTTTAAAACGAGTTTTTGGTTCAGGAATTTCTTGAATTCCCGATCTGCCAGATTAGGGTTTCGGAGTATCCGGAAGCCGGATTGAGCCCAAATTTCATATACGAGCTTCCTGCAGCGAGGTAATCAATCCTCTAGTTCTAATCTCTGAATTTCGGCAATTATTTAGGCCGGGGTCCAAACCGCTGAATTTAGCTCCGGCCAGGGTTTGATGTGTTTTTATCGAGAATTAAACCCGGAGCCTAGAACTAATATTGACGGGGATACTGCAGGGGATATTAGGACGGTCTCGGATTTTAATTCGGGGTTCGTTCGTGAAATTGACGTTTTAGTACGGGAAGGTTAAATCGGGGTTTGAACGACCAGAACTGGTGAGGGATTAGCACGGCATACCGGGTTTGTCGTATCACGATAATTATATTGATGCTTAGAATTGATCTAGGTGAACTAGAATGGCATGATTAGGGGTGTATTGACTTTTGTGCTATATGATGAACCCTGGACTACTGTATGATATTATTGACTTGCTCTAATCGATATGAACCTTGTTTATGTGGATGATTTCCTACATGTTGTCATTTGTGGCTTAACTGTTGATATGACTTTATGGTTGTTCGATAAGGGTTTTTGACATGGTGTGATATTATGGTTGTATTTGGATCCATAAGTGGGGGAATAAACTTCCCAAGGTGATATTATGATGTTTAAGGAGGATGACTTGCACGAGGGTTTATCCCGAGGAAGTGCAATTATACGACTCCTGATTTACCTATGTTGAGCCAATTATGGTCAGGTAAAGTACATGTGCAAGTAACGAATTGTGATTAAGCAAGATGAGATATGAATCATGTATAAGGATACCAAATATGAGTGTTATGGTCTCACGGTCAACTACATAGTAATTAGGGCTCCCTATGCTATTACTCTATTATGATATGTATGATAGTCACACCTCTCATATGGTGGTGACTGAAGAATTCTTATGAGATATGACCACACCCAGAGCGGTGTCGGGGTATGACTACACCCATAGTGGTGTGGGGTATGTATGACCACATCCGACGGGATGTTGGGGTATGTATGACTACATCCGACGGGATGTGGGGTATGTTTCCCGGGAGAGTTATTAGCATGGGAGTAGCCAGGCGCCTATGATTAAAACATGATAAGATGCATATGCATAAGTCAAAGTGGTTGAGTCTTTTGCTTATTGGGATATGAGGATGATTGAGGTCCGATCCTAGTGTTTTGGCTGGTTTGCTAGATGTATGGTAGGGGTATGCTCTGTTATGAACTCACGATGCTATGATTATCTCACTCAGCTATGAGCTGACCCTCTTTTATTCTTCTTCTCTGCTTATGCTATGTGTAAGCAGATCATCAACAGCAGCAGTAGATAAGTGTTAGGTAGGAGAGGAGCTAGAGTTGAAGCCAGGATGAGGTATGGTCTTCAACTACTCTGTGCTTGGACTACTACTCGGGATTTTGGCCAGTGATCCACACCTTTTTGTAAAAATGTTTTGAGAACGTTTTTCATGTGCATACTAGCTTCTGATGTAGTGTGAGATATCCACAGGTGTGGAAAGTTGATGATATGTGTATATTTGTGTAACTGTGTAAGTTGTGACGATTATGGTATGTATAAGTTTGGTATGTAGTTGTGTAGTATGAAAGTGTGACTATGGCTAAGAAAAGCCAATGCATATGGTTGTGAGTATATATGTTTGTGATGAATTATTTTGCAGGTTAAGTTGCAAGAACTGTTAGCCCATTACGCGAGTAATTCTTGTCGAAATTTTATTTAGGTAAATTTTGATAATTAATGTAACACCCGAGATTAATTCCGCTGCAATTGTATGAAAAATATGATTAGGAAAAACGTATAGGGTAGGGTGTTACACGTTAAGTTTTCGTTAACACTTCTGTTAGTAATGATGACTAAGCTTTTACGATGGTGAGCTGGCTCCCACGTGGCAGTCATCATATCATATTTTTTACGATGCTGACATGGCCTTCTACGTTAAAAATTTGAAAACAGTAACGGGCTGTTAGCCAAATCTTGACCCACAACAATAGTTATGGCTAATAATTTGTATTTCGATAGTTATGGCTATAATTCCCCGCTACTTAATAGTTATGGATAATATATTGTATTTACCAAAAAAAAAAAAAACAAAAGGACAAAAGCTCAGCTATAAGCAGCCTATAGGCTACAACGCAAAAAGAACATATTAATGACGAAAGACAATTGCTCAATTGTAACGCAAAAAATACATGCGTGACCTGTGAGATTCGAACTCACGCGGGGAAACCCCACTTACTTAGCAGGCAAGCGCCTTAACCACTCGGCCAAAGTCACGTTTGTTGATACGATATCGTTCAGAATTTAGTTATTTTATAGTTGGGATCATTTACGATTGCGGTCCTTCTCTCCGTCGTCGGTTGTTTGCTCCGTGGATTCAGAACGCAGACCCATCGCGAAAAACTGGAGATGGGGACTGTAGCTCTCAGTTCCGGAAACCTAACTGCTTCCGATCGTCAAATTCTGAGGACCGTCAATGCAGGAGCATCTTCTCTGTCATTCCTAGGTTCCAGCTTCATTGTCCTCTGCTACCTCCTCTTCAGAGACCTTCGAAAGTTCTCCTTCAAGCTCGTCTTCTACCTCGCAATCTCGGTATGCTCTCTCGCTCGCTCGCACGCTCTTGAGTCTTTTATGGAGATGGGGAGATCGATCAATCTCATACTACTCTTTCTTCTCCACGGCGATTCTGGCGACTAACTACTGAACTTTTGTGCTCCATCCAACCCGCAGGACATGCTGTGCAGCTTCTTCAGCATAGTTGGGTGAGTTCCTCCTCATGCCCTTTACTTGCAGCCTGATTCAAATAGTATGTGTGGGGACTTCAATTTCATTCGTAATGCAGAGATCCCTCGACAGGATTCTTCTGCTACGCTCAGGGCTATAGCACCCATTTCTTCTGCATCGCATCTTTCCTCTGGACTACCACCATTGCTTTCACCCTGCATCGCACTGTTGTCAGGCACAAAACTGATGTTGAAGACATGGAGGCCATGTTTCATTTGTACGTTTGGGGTAAGATAAGAACGATTTCCATCCTCACCCTCAACAATCCGCTTATCGGTCTCCCTAACATAGTCTGGCCCTTGCTTTTGTCAACTAGTGTGCTTGGCATTTCTTCTTTCCCTCCTTTGTTCCCCATTCTGCTCTAACCTTCCCCACCATCTCGAACCTCTTTTGTGCTTTGCCCATGCCATGCCTCCAGCCAGTAATTTTTACTATGGAACATTGTCTGAGAGTTTCATTTCCACTTACAGGTACCTCGTTGGTTATGACTGTCATACGCTCCATGGGTAATGATCACAGACACTTAGGCGGCGCATGGTGTTCATCACAAACTGGAAGAACAAAAAAGGCAAGCTCACGGCATTGTCTTCCTCTCTTTCTTTCATGCTTTTCTGCCAAATGCACGGGACATGTTGTTTGGTGAACCCAACCTGCTTCGTACTATTGCGGTGTGGATGATCTTGATCCATGACTTCTTTTAATCCAAAATGATTGTACGAGTTTAAAGTTTGAAAGTCTAATCCCAATCATAGTTGCATCTTGTATATCAGTGACTAAAGGTTTGCCCATCTCCATCAACTATTCTTATTTTTGTTATCTGTTTCTGCAGGCGTATCATTTCATAACATTTTATGTCCCCCTTTGGGGTGCCATTCTTTACAACGGGTTTACATATTTCCAAGTCATCCGGATGCTGAACAATGCAACTCGCGTAGGCATCAATTTCCAATTTTTCACTTTTCAATGGGTTTGTTCATATTGATATTATGATAGCCAGCAATGCTTTTCTCTGAATATCAGATGGCAGAGGGCATGTCAGACCGTGCATCTGATGGAAGACCGGACATGAAGGTGTGTTACTTTCCACTGTTGATGTTTCTTATACTCCTGCAGAGTTAGTCTAACGATAGGCCCTTTTCTTGATCCTTTGGGAGCTTCCTTGTCCAATTCATCATTTACAAGCTCTACATGTTTCTGCTATTTGATAACATTGAATCAGTTGCTCCTGATGTACTCAACTTGTATACTACATTACTACTCACTCAAAGTGCAAACTAATTCTCTACTTTTGAGCTGGGTTCAATAGTCTCCTCCTATAATTGGTTTCTATTTGTCTTGTAGGCTCTGAATAGGTGGGGATACTATCCGCTTATCCTAATAGGCTCATGGACGTTTGGCACGTTAAATGTCATCCACGATCTTATCGAACCAGGCCATAAAATCTTTTGGCTCTCGGTGCTTCATGTGGGTACGGCTGCCCTTATGGTAATTCTCGCTACCATTATTCTTCTGGGTTCTGCTTTTGAGGCATCTTTGCTCGTAACTATGGGAATGCTAGCTGACAGCGAGCAGACCAATTTAACTATTTATCTTAAAAACAACTTCTAAAAACCTGCAATATTTGCCTTAGTGAAATGCAGGTGAGTTCAATAACAGTTGACTGTATCTTGATTAGCCATGAGAACACCAGGGTGAAAACTTCCATTTGTAGGGTTTGGTTGGCTCTGCCTATATTTCTGGCCTTTAACAATTGATGCTTGTTTTCTTAAACATGTTGATACTCTCAGTACCTATGCTGATTCTTTTCCTTTTCACTTTTGGGTTTTTGCAGTATGCTGCCCTGCATATTGAGTTTTAGTTTTCATTAGCATGTTGGATGCATTTCATGATTGACTGGGGTGCCAATTTCACAGAGGAGGTGTTAATTACTTCTGTTCTTATAGGGGCTCTTCAACTCGATAGCATATGGCCTTAATTCATCGGTGCGGCGGGCAATATCTGAAAGATTGGATCTGTAAGATTTACTTTCCAATATTAATCGTCTTTAATGAAACATCTTATGCTTGATGGACCTTAAGGACAGTCCCTTAATGGTATGGTCTTAAATTTACCTAGAGATCCTTTAGTGAATGTTTTATGGTTGCTGCTGAATTTTTACCCTAAACTGTTGTGTTGGTGTGAAGAAGTATAATTATTAGGGAGATTTGGGTCTTGGGCTTGTTTCCTTCTAGTTCTTGCCTTGGAAAACCCTGCGGTCATGCTTCCACGAAATAGGCTGTGTTAGAATTCTGATACAATTCCATTTGCAGTTGGAGATTTTGTAAACATGTTGCCTTGAGATTAGATCATATATCCAATTATACTCTAGCATTAACAGGCTAGATGGTTCAGTTATTTGTTTTCTTGTTTGCTTTGCTCCTAAATTATCAATTGTGTGAATACCACATAAGATGGCTGGGATGCCTGAAATATTTGCCAGGTTCTGCCCTGAACGGCTACAAAGGTGGTTGCTTGCTAACAGTGCAAAATCGAGGAGTACAGGGCAAGAAAGCGAGCTCGTGTCTTTGAAAGTACAAGATGTGCATTAACAAGAAGGGTAGCCAACAAGTTGTGTATGCAAGTGATCCTTCTAGGTTGAAGAGAACTTGGTGCAGTGCAGAACGGGAAACCAAAACTGATGGCCACATATGCATCACCGTCATTATTTGATTCATGTCATTGTGTCTTCGAAAACCAAGGGGCTAGGTGTTTATGTTTTATTAGATGTGGGTCGAGCGGAAACGGAGTTTCGAGCTGATGAAGCATTCCCTTGGAGCTGTATGAAACTGAAAGGAGGTTGATGTTAGGCTTTCAAATTCTAACCTGAGCTGGAATATGGAGCTAGTTGGGGTTTGGATGGGGGATCATAGTTTTTTCATTTGTGTTGTACTTAAGGGCTCCTCTTCCTCTTTTATTCTCTAACTTTGTTTCTGCAATTATTCTTGTGTAATTAGGTTAAGATGTAATTAATTAGCGAGGTTGATGGGAGGGATGGCTCTATTTCAGATTGCTTCTTGAGTGTTGATTAGTTTTGGATGAACTACACAAGACCTATCCTATGGCTTTTCGGTCTGCTCCATTCTTTTTCATTGCTATTGTAATCACACAATCGAACCCCTATAATGCACGAGGCGATAAAAACACAGTATGGCATGGGCGCTTCATCTAACAAGTTCCCGTGTATGCTATGTAGAATGTAATAGAGAGATTTGGAGCATATTGCTTGAGGTCAATTGCCAGTGGACTTTATGATCACTTTTGTTCTTTTCATATAATACATTCATCCACAATGCCTTAGTTGTGTAAGGTGTTGCACTGTTGCTAACACGTTGGCGCAGATGGAGCCTTGCTGAAACCAGCAAGAATTCCAAGTATCAGGGAATCGAAAGAAGTTCAGGATCCTGCCTCAGGTTGATGACTATCTATGTAAACGTGTGGCAATGGCAGAAGTGCAGTCAGTAGTTACAAATTTCAATAGATTTATAATCGATGGCCAACGTACACCAGAATAGGAAAACTATGAAAGACTGCTGCTACTACTACAACTCCCTATTACTGCTCAATGCGCCTAAAAAAGCCAGACAAAACAAGAGCACAAACTATAGCCTCAAAGAAGAACAAAATCGAAGCAGAATTCAAGAGAGATGAGAAACAGCAACTGACATAGCACAGTGCACCTCACACTAGCAAACTTGAGCATTCTCCCGCCCTCCTGCTTCTGTGATTTCGGATTTACATTCCACAGCAGCAAGTGATCATCCACCGTGGTTACTAGCCTGTGTACGCCCAACATGAGACAATCTCGAGGATGCAACCAGAGGTTGTGCTTCCTCATCTGCAGCATCGGAGGATGATAAGATGTTTGCTGTACTGCCATCACCGCCATTATTAGGCGCATATATATCAGATGCCTTCTTGTCCAGTTTCCAATCCTGTTGGCCATGCAAACCCCATCAACGAACAGCAAGTTAGATGAGTGCTGAGGAAAAGAGTCCGATTGAATTACAGGTGCTTAACCAGTTTAGATAGTCTTTGAATGATTTTCGATTTTACAGTAGAAGTTTCGTAAGCCAAATCCATAATATAACCAGAAAATGTAAAGTCACCAAGAAAGCATCTATAATCCGTGAAAAACAGGAACAATAAACATGAAAAGATCGTACCAGTCAATAAATTAGAGTTAGTTTTTGCTGTTTTTGGAAAACCATTAGAATGCTTTATTGGTTTTAGCCCATTGGTCAATAGTTTTGATTGTAGCTACTCCATAACAGGTTTTGGTTCTCGAGGTTTTGGTTTGGCTGGTTAACCACCCTAGTGAGATCATCGAGGTTAATAGAGAAATCGGGGTCAATATAGCTCAAGTACAAACCTTCAGCATTCTTTCAGAAGCAGCTTCAGGGAGCTGCGATGATGCGCGGACATCTCTGATCTTTAAGTAGTTGTACATTACGACACCACAAAGTGCTGCACGAGAGGAAATCAAATTACATAGTAAGTTTCCGGAAAACAATTGCTAACAAGAGGGATACATTAGAATTCCTCAAAGATAACTATTAGGAATACATAATACATACCAATTGCATAACCAATTATGTTCATGCCAGTTATAGTAGACTCGGGAAATATGACGGTTGAAAGGGCTATCAATATCCAGTCTTTAAGTACACCAGCAACCCTGATGGTGACTGCCCCAGTTCTTCCAATCACCAAGAATATGGAGAAGTTCAAGGCTAATGCACAGAGTGCATTAGAAAAGAAAATCCAGAAATTGAACTGAATCTGTGAGACTTCCATTCCTGGTTTCTCCAGTAGATACCAAGGTACAAACAGAAACACAAAACTGCATGTAACAGAATAGAGTGACGTGAGTGAGCAGCTACGACTGTGGGATACAAGTTCGTAATATAACATCTTAATAATCCAGGAAGGCATCTGGATTAATTTACGGTGATTGTTTATGAGACATAAGAAAACGGGTGCATCTGCGGCTGGTTTTCTCCTTGTGCTTCAAGCAATAACACAGATTTGAGTACATTAAAAAGTAATAAGCTTCTTCTCCATTAATCCAACTCGAACATGCAGAACTCTTAATTCCATTCGTAGATGGTAGTGAAAATCAATGAGACAAAAACTCGCTAAAGGAATGACCATAAAGCCTCAAAACACTGATCGCATGGACACGTAAGGAAGAATGCAATTAAAAACCAATAACTCGAAAGTAAATTAATTTTAACATAAGTCACTCAAAAGAAAGAGTTCAAAATCTGATAAAAATGCCACATGGGGGAAACCTGATCCAAGTATCATAACAACTACCTGCATGGAGCTATGTAATATAAGCTGGTGATAGGATTCAGGGTCAAGCCCTTCTTCTGTAGAAGAACTTGAGTTAAGACCAGCCTAAGTGCTTCTGCAAAGATGCCAGTAACCTGGTAAACTGTGCCAACTACATTAAAATGGATTTCCCCGTACGAGGAAACGACAACTCCAACACTGACCACCAACATGTTTAAGAACACGTCACACCTTGCTTTGTCAGTGCCACACAATACAGCCATGATAAAAGTTGCCACTGGCACTGCAAAGGAAATTGTGCAAAGGATGAACAGGTAGAAGATTAAATCAAACGTAACAAATATTTGACAGATAATAAAGTTGCACATCTTCTTAACTCCACTTACTTAAAGCCTTAAGCATCTGGATGAAGGCCACTGAAATATATAAATATGCAGTGTTACCAAACCTGCATACATGAATTAGTCAATACTCAATAGGCATCTCAACTACGGAAATGGTAAGTTAATCATAAGAATGAGGGACTTATATTTGACGAACAGAGTGTTTAAGCACGGAAACAAATAAGATTCTGTAAGTGCAGTTTTGCTGAATATGGGGGACAGGCGTCGCAAACAAAAACAAGAACTAAAAAAATGGGTACTGAGCCTGTGACAATGTACTAATACAACCTAGTGATTCATGCAATGCAATGCAAGGCATGAAATGACTGTTTGTTTTGCCTACATTACATCACTACTTCGCCAATTAACCACAGCAAATAGTAAGCAAGTTATAAATGTTACAGAATGTAGTGCAATGCTCAGACAATGCAGAAGCTTGTAGAATTCAACGCATGAAATCGTACTGGTTTCAAGTGATAGAATATGTAAAGCAATTACATTTAATCTCTTACCAAAGACTTGCAGCGAAGAAGGCGCTTATGGGTATGACACAAGTGGCATATCTGCAACATCAGGGGAAAGCGAAGTTAACACTGGAAATGAGAAGAGGGTGGTTCTCAATATAAGGATGAATGGTAGAAGATATGCATACATTTCGAAGGTCATTTTGACAGGAGACACAACCTGCACGCAGTCGAAACTCAAGTGAGGCGGAAGGTAAGAGATACAGTAAGCACACAGGAAAAGGGAATGATAGGAAATCGGGCATATAATCAAGAAAACAAATTCAGTAACTAGGGGGATCCAAGAGCACTATAAAGCTGTTTTGTCATTTCGGCGAACATGGAAAGATTGAGTTGAGTGTATGCTTGGGAATTCTGTAGCATTCAGATGGGTTGGTGTTTCCTTCTGATTTCCTCTCTCAAGGCCGTAATCAGGTAATGGTAATAACAAACAGGATCAGGCAAGAACAAGGCACAGAGGGTTCTCCTATCAAATGGGGTGCTCCAAAGTGAGATCGCAGAAATTTAAGTTGACAGTAATTAGCACAGTGGGCGGACCTTGAAAACGCGGACGAGGAAGAAGGAGACCATGCCGGAGAATGCCATGTGAATCATAGTGAGCGTGATGGGGAAGGGGAAGTTGAAATACTTGGGTGAGAGAACCCACTGCAGAAGCACAAATGAGAGGAAGGGTGAGGCAGGCAGCAAGCAGAAGAAGAAGAAGCAGTAAGTAGTAAGGGAGTGAGTGAGTTCGTCGTATATACCTTATTGTAGAGGATGACGCCGGAGGAGAGGATGATGTAAATCAGAAGGTAGATGTACGTGAAAACGAGGGTCTTGCTTATCATCGCCATGTTTGACCCAGTTTGCTAGCTTAAAATGCGGCCAGCAGCAATGGGAGTGAGCGAGGAGAAACCCAGTCCCAGAGGCAGTGATAGCTGCTTGCTTAGTTAGCAGAGGAGAGGGAATAAAGAAGGCAACCGGAGGTTCGGGGGAAAATGTTGCAGTCGGAGATCAGACGGTGGATCCAAAAGCTAAGCAAAACTTGCCGAGAGAGAGCGCGTCCGATGAAAACCCAAAACCGGAAGAAGAGCGCGAAAAAGCTTAACCTCGAGGAAAGGGCATCGCAATCTGCTATACTCCAAAATCAATCGACCATCGATAATGGCCATCCCAATATTGCCATTAACATTCCCATCCACAGGACGGAAAGAATTGAGAAAGAAAACTTGGACGCACAGAAGAGGAGAGAGAGAAAGAGTGAGATCTGTGTTTGCGTGTTTGTTGCAGCGAGGAGAGCCGCGAGGGAGGCGGCTCTTTCTTATTTACCTCCAACCCAAACCTTTTTTTTATATTAAGTTAATAACAACAACAATAATAACATGGCGCCGTCCGTCCATCCATCCCTTCTCTCCAACGGTAGCAGAGCAGCCGCCGGCGGCGGCTCTTCCGACCAACTAGAATTAATTATACTCCACCCTAACACTTAAAATCCCAATCCTTTACTCAATGTATCGAACTCTGCCGATCAATCAAATTGGAAAGACTGTTACAGACAGACACAATTATCCCAAGTTCCATTCTTTCTCCGTCCAACCCAGACAGACAGACCCATCACCCTCTTCTTCCCATCTCTCTGTTTCCGCCATTTTCCTGTTCAGAGTGAGCACCACCATTAACTGATCAGCGGAAGCAAATAACCCCACTCCGGTCCGGAAAGCAGGACGAAATTATCAATGGCGGACAGAACAAATTAACAAACCTCCCGGCTTTTTATTATTTCGATTTCACAATTTGGGTGAAATCCCAAGTTTATAAACACTACATCGACATTGGATGATACAAAGGCGAAAGTTTTTTGTTCGTGCGAAGGAGAGCCTAATTCCTCTACTCTCTCTTGATGTTGGGGTTCTGAATGCTCTCAGGGTAAAGCAACCTCTGCGCGCCAGTCATTTCCAGCACCCTCTTGCTCGGCGCAGCAGTCTCCGGCTCCCCCGGCGGGCTGGTGAAGAACAAGCGGTAGGCCAGCTCGACGGCGTCGGGGCAGAAAATCTTCCACAACCAAGTGGTCCTGTACCAAGCCGGAACCGTCAGGTACTTGTCCCCTCTGCAAGCGCTCTTCACAATCGCGCTCGCCGTCGACCTGACCGACGCCACAGGCACGGCACCCACTTTGGCATCCCTCAATTCTTGATCCACTTCCATTCTGCCCTCACTAGTCATGAATTTGCCCTTCGTCAGCTCCGACTCGACGTACCCCGGAGTGACGATCAGGACCGACACGGCGTGAGCTAGCTCCACCCTCAGCGTCTCGAAGAAGGACACCACGGCCGCTTTGCTCGCCTGTGAGTAGTTAATTGAAGTTGCAGTTAAATTCGGATAGAAACAAAGTTTCGAAATGGTGTGGGGCTATGAACACACGACTCACATTGTAGAAGCTCATCTTTGCCTCGGGCAGCCACGAAGCAGCAGACGCCATGGCGATGATCTTGCCGTAGGATCTGGCCAGGTGCGGTATGGCGAATTGGGTCATGTAAACCGATCCCCAGAAGTTGGTATCCTGCAGAACCAAAGCAATTGGACTGTTAATTGTTTTTTTTTTTCTTGTGCCGCATGAATTTCAGTTTGAAAGCTGATGAAAATGTGATTTGTGCAGCTGACCATGATGGTTCTGAAGTTGGTGATATCGGCGACATCTTCGAAGTTGCACACCGAAGAGATCCCAGCATTGTTCACCAAGTGATCCACTAGCAAATTTCCATGCCCAGAAACAAAACAAAACAATTGAATGTTAAAGACATGAAACAGAGAGAGGGAATTGAGCATGTTTATTAATCAAAATTACATCTTCCTCCGAATTGGTTAACGGTTTCGTCGACGATTCGCCTGCAGTCGTCGACGTTCTGGACATCTGCAACGATGGAGATGACTTTCGGGGATCCCAATTCAAGAGCGACCTCGGCTACATCTCGTAGGCCGACTTCTCTGCGGGCGACGAGTGACAGGCACGCGCCTCTGCTCGCGTACTCGTAAGCCAGATGCTGAGGGTAAAAAGAAGAAAAACAGAGTTTTAATTAATTAATTAACACCCATACGATCGATTCTGGAAAAGAAAGCAAGCAAGGTGATGAGAGGGGTTTCAATTGAACTTACTTCGCCGATGCCGGAGGAGGCGCCGGTGATGAGGACGACCTTGCCGGAGACATCCTCGCTGATGAGGTAGTGCAGCGCGGTGGTGCAGGCCTTGTAGAGGTAGTAGGGAGGGAGGAGGAAGCAGAGGGAGAAGAAGGTGAATGGGGGAGCTACCAAGTTCAGGAACTTGTGAATCAGATCCATTAGTAGCTGCGCTGTTGCAGTAGGAGTATACCAGATTGCAAGAGGGAATTCCTGAGAATGATGATGGAGAGCCGGCGGGGGAGGAAGGGGGATTATAATGGGTTTGTGGATAAGACTGGAGAGAACGGAGACGAATTCTTTCTGGAGGAGGGGAAAGGGGAAGGGAAACCATGGCGGACGGAGCTGAGTGGCGTTTGCTGCATGGACTGGACATGACACGTGGGGCAAAGAAGAAAATTCGAAACGTTTTTCTTTTGCCGCTTCCTGTGTTTAGGGGGAGGGAAAAGAAAATTTTGGGGATAATTCCTTCCGACCTTAGCCATTGCCAGGGTCATATCTAAGATTGCTGTTGAAAAAGGATAGCAGCAGCAGTGGCCAACACTGCAACCTTCTTTAGTTTCTGGAATCTAACTCAATTAGGAGCGGTAATCGATCGGTATCCGGTATACAGGATACCGAGTAGTCGAAATTCGGTATATCAGCAATTGAAATTCTACCGCCGAATACCGATACCGAAAGTTATTCTGTATATCGTATGTCAGATAGTCGATTATCGGTTTTTAACAAGTATACCGGATACTGGATAGACCGTTTTCTTCCAAAATTGCAATCATTGAATTGTGAGTTCTAAATTCACTGAAAATAAACCTTTCGGATTTCGTTTAAGACACGTATGCTCTGTCTACACCTTATGAAGTTTAGATAGTGATGATGCATTCTCATTGCAGGCAATACTTGACTGTTGTCTGGGTTACATCCCAGCGCTGCTACCCATTCACGAGGCCCCGTATTATTGGTTCAACATGTTAATTAATTATTTAACTTAATTGGATTACGAGGGACGGAAAGCGGCTCTTTTCTTAGACGGGGAGGAGCAGCCCAAATAGTTCCTGCCTCTTTAACAGGCCGTTTGGTATCAAATGAATCGAGAATTCATTGTCAAATGAAATCTTCTGTTTGGTACGTCATATTCAAATAAAATGAATTGCCATGTAGAATTCATTGTTAAATGAATTTTTGTGTTTAGTATGTATATGTATAAGTGATTTAGTTAATAAAAGAGGATAATTATGTCATTCTATTATAATTAGCAAAAACTTGTGGAATTCATTTGGAAATTCCATCTCAATTCCTCGGAATTGCTATAACTAGTTCCAATTCCATAGAATTTAAAATTTAGAATTGGAAATGAATTCTTTCAAATACCAAACATAAAAATATTTCATTTAAGAATGAATTCTTCAAAACTTATGGAATTTATTTATACCAAACGGTATGTAAGTAATATTGTATTATATTATAATGGTGATATATCTTTTATTAATCGAAAAGGGAAATGATAAAATTAAACATAGCACTCCCATGCTTTACTTGCTTTCCAGCTTAGTAAATATTTCGTTTAAGACACGTATATATACACGTACGTATTTTATTCGTTTAAAACTTTTATATTCGTATTATTGTCAAGCCATTTTATTTTTTTCCTTCATTTAATTTTCTCGTACTAAACATGTATAAAACTCATATAACACTTTTAATATTTGTTCCTAATGAATTAAATTGTTAAATTTACTATTATTTATTTGTTTAATTTAAAATAATTATCTTTATATATTTATTACTATTAACGTACTATTAAACATAACATTAACTTAGAGAAGAAGTGAAATACCAGTATGTATTTTATATGTAACTTTTACCTATCTTATTTTATTAACTATGCTTTCCCGCCGAATATTGGAGTCCTCCAAGCCTCTTTGTCTTAAACATCATTGTCATAGTTTTCAGCTTCTTTATATTATTTTAGTAAAAAAAATATAATAGTCGAATCTTACATTTTAAATAAAATAATAGTAAAATCTTTAAAATAAAAAAGGGCCAAAACATTCATTCCAAATGAATTGTAAAAAAATAGGAAGTACGAAATTCATCCCCTAAATCCTAAAATTAATTCTATGAAAATAATCTATTTAAACATAATAATAATCCTACTAAGGTACCAAGAAAAAATAAACATGGGAGTGTACCTCTCTGTGTTTAATTTTATCATCTCCCTTATCCATTAATAAAAAAATAGATCACAAATATAATAATACAATAAAACTTAAAGAGGTAGAATGTTTGGGCTGCTTCTCCGTCCAATTCCCGTCCCGTTATAATTCAATTTTTTTATTTCTGAGTCGTCATACTCTAATTAAGTTAAATAATTAATTAACATGCTTGAAACAATAATATGTGGTCACGTCAATGGGTAGCAACGCTGGGTTGCAACACAGACAACAACCAAGTATTGCCCTTCTCATTGCATGCGAGGTCTAGTCCTTTTTTATTCTTTTGATTTGTACATGATTTGGTTGTTAGCATGTAGAGCAGAGATGTGAGATGATACATTCCTCGCACGTTGCTTGCTTGTAGTGCTGATATGAAGATGATATAAGAAGATACAGAGGATACAAGAGGAGATCAGAATTTATTGTTTGTGATTTTGTAATATGCACAATTCAAGGTCGGTGCATAATTGGTCTAGATATTTTTTTGATTAAAGGCTTATATAAAGCATGGACATAGATGCATTGCTGCAAGGTAAGAAAGAATAAAAAGAAAGAAAACCTTCCTCCCTTGTTCTTCTCTCTGCCTGCCGCTAGCTCTCCCTGCTCCCTCCAATTTCATTTCCAAAACCAATTGTCCAATTATACATCTCACCAATCAAACAAACAACACTAAATGCCTAGATCAAATCCCAAAATCAACACTTTCACTGTCGATGTATGTGATATGCTACAAGTGGCGCGGGTTGAGGTTCTGGAAGCAGAAGTAAGAGCATCCTTTGCCCTTATTTCATATATGCTATTTCAGTATTCCGGTATACCTGGTTGTCGTCAGTATATTACCGGGTATTATCCGGTATATCGTTATGCCAAATCACGCCATCGAATACTGATACCCCTGGTATCCGATATGGTATCCGGTAATACAGAATACCGGTTTACCGATTACCGCCCCTAAACTCAATTATGGTGCTCATAAAAATGTTTGTGAGAACGTGTTCATAATGCTGATTAATGTAAATTGAATTGAGAGTGTACTCTTCATACCATTGAACAAACGGGGTAAAATTACTACTGAACAAAATGAGTGAAAGATAGAATTCATGCTGCTTTTTGGTGTTTGTTAATACGAAGAAAAGTAGTGTTTGATAAATTGTATCGTACTAATGGTGCGATTAAAAAATTACATATAAATGCACAAATTAATATAAAATTCTATCGTGATAAAATGGTGTACGGTTTACGCACAAAATAACCTACCACTAACTTATTATGTACAACTTTCTTATTGTATACCAATCTCCAAAAAAATAATGAAGTATCTTGGATGAATCAATTCTGAAACGAGAAAATTTGATAAATTGTGTTACTTTATAAAACGAGTCATTTATAATGAGTTATTTCACATTATCTACCATATTTTTTCCGATAATTCATTACCAACCATATTCCAAACAATTGAAATTGACTAAAAAATTTTAATTCGAGCTATCTAAATTTTTTGTTGATAAATCAATCAATTTGATCAAATTTTCCTAAAAAAAAAAATATTTAATGGGTGACAATTCATCACCAAAGGTTGCAAGCTACAAGAGCCAAAAGTGTAAGGCAAAGTGACGCAAACCATCTCGTTGTTGTTTGAAGCCAGTTTGCAGAATCAAGGGGTCCGGGAGCTTAGAGGAAATGTTGTTAGTGCTCGGCATGAAGGATTAGATATATATATGAGGGTGAATAATATTAAAGAAAAAACAGAAAACATTCCCACATACGCCAGACTTAGCTTCCACCAAAGGAAGGAACAAACCCAAAAATCAACGAGAAAGCAATACAACATAGGACCCCCGCACAAGAAGTGCCCTCGACCAAAACCAAGGAAAGGAAGAAAAAAAAGAAAAAGAAAAGAAACGAAAGGAACAAGTAGGAATCTACGCCCACCCGAAGGCCCCTACAACCCCAAAAGAAGTCTCCAGCACAAAGAACAAAACCGGGAACCAACAAGTCAACAACAGAAGCAATCAGTCGTTGCGCATCCCGCGACCACCTCTTCCTCAGCCGGACCACTCCCGCCCCCAGAATCGGATATTGATCCAGGGATGCGAATGGTAGGGTCATTCCCTCCTAACAACGGAATAAGTGATCGTCACCATAGCTCCCCAAAAAACACAAAACGAAGATCCAGTGTTTGGATAACCATAAAAGGGAAGTTTGTAAGCTTTCAAGGAACTCAAATGATAGCTTCCTGTCCAAATAAACAATCGAAGTTATCGAAGGTTGAGGTGTGGCGATTCAAGCTGCCCTCCCTAGAAATTCTAGACAGAGAGGAGGATACAACATCCCCTTCTCTACTCATTGGGAGCGTGCTCCTGACTGGCAGCAATGTTTCAGGTCGTATAATATCAAGTTTTTATAAGACCTGGGTGGCTAGTCTAGAGTTAAGGACTGGCCGGAAGTTGGTGACTTTCCAACAATTGCCGGTGAGGACTCGTCGTTTTTTCCCTCGTGGCGACCAGAATAACGACTGGCAGGGCGACCGGTGAACGCAAGGGAGGTTGTTGTTCGGCGAATCTCTCCACCTAATCCCTGGCCCGGATTTTATGGGATTTAATCCCCTCCTATTTTGCTAAAGAAAATGAAAACGACTTCGGATCAAAGTTGAACTCCCATCCCCATACGCAACCTCTACACCCGAACCCTAGCCACTAATATGCTCTTTGGGTGGCAGCTGGACTCTCGAGTTTATTTAAACCCGTACCCTATACGACACAGTCTATCAATTTCCCATCGTAGCGTGTGTTTGTCGATGGCAGAGTGCAGCTCCGACCACCCGCATCAGTCTTCAAGCTCAGGTTTGCGTATATCTTCCCACCACTCACATTCCAAACTGCTGTAAGATTATTTCATTCAAATAAATCAGACCTTGTTTTCCTTTCAAAAATGAGATCGAGCCGGAGAGTAGCCACCCGTCGAATGCGGGGGTTAGGTTTTGATTCTTCTCATTGTTTCTTTGTTGATGCCATCGATACCTATGGTGGCTTAGTTGTAGCTTGGTCCCCGAGGTTGATGCTTCGATGTTTTATCATTTGGATTTTTCCATTTGTGTTAGGATTAATGAAAGTGATTTTTTATGTGGTGGTTTGTGTATACTTAAGTTGTCATGAAGCAATCCGCGCAAACCAATTAGATATCCTTCGCCATATTTGTGATGAGATCCATATGTATTTTTTGGTCTTAGGGAATTTCAATGTCAGTTTAAATGAGAATGAAAAGAATGGTGGTAACCCCTGGAATGTTGCCCAGTCCATTCCTCTCAGGAATTTCATTCACGATCTAGGTCTCCAGGATCCGGGATATCAAGGTTGGAGGAAGTTCATGGCTCCCTTATGTACCAAATTTGGGAGAGATTAAAGAAAATTCGTCACCTGCTATATGACTGGAGCAATGCTGGAACTACGAATTCATTTAGGAATATTAAGACCCTCCAAGCTGAAATTGATCGAGTCAAACTTTGCCACCTGATTAATTGGGATGAGGTTAGGTCGTTGGAAACTAAGCTTAATCGGCAATGGGAAGCAGAGGAGGTTTATTGGCAACATAAATCAAGGGACCGTTGGCTCAAGAAGGGTGATAAAAATACGTCGTATTTTCATACAGTCATGTGGGCTGGCCATTAATGCAACTTTGTTTCTGGTCTCCGCAACGAGAAGGGCGAATGGATAACGGAGGAAAGGGGGAAGGATGACATAGCAACAATCTTTTATCAACACCTCTTTACCTCGGAGAACCAAATTTTTAATATGGAAGCCAGGATTGCCGATCTTTCAATTGATTGTAAGGTATCTGCAGAAATGAATGCTACCCTTACGACGTAAGTCCTTCCTGATAAAATTCGTAAACCGGTGTTCTCTATGAGATCTACAAGCCCCGGGATATGATGGGTTTACTGGGAAATTTTTTAAGTCTATCTGGGATATAGTGGGTACCTCAGTGATTGATGATGTTCGTTCTTTATTTAGTACGAGCAGGCTGCTCCGCAGCTTTAATCACACATGGCTCACACTGATACCCAAAGTGGATAATGTTGAAAACATGAGGCAGCTTAGGCCGATTAGTCTATGCCAGTTCGTGTATAAGATCATTACTAAAATCATACCTAAAAGACTAGCCCAATATTTACCTCAGAACATTTCGGAGGGGCAAAATGCTTTTATCCGTGAACGCCAAATTGTGGAGAACGTCTTGCTAGGGCATGAGTTAATGCAGTATCTAAAAATCAAAACGCGAGGTAAGAAAGGGTACATGGCTCTGAAGGTTGACATGGAAAAGGCTTATGGTAGAGTCGAATGACCATTTCTGCTTGTGATTTTGAAAAAGCTAGGTTTTAACTCAATCTGGTGTGACTGGGTTGTGGAATGCCTCCGCTCAACCTCTTTCTCGGTGCTTATGAATGGCACCCCTGCAAGTTTCTTTGCTCCGTCCCATGATCTTCGGCAGGGAGACCCTCTGTCCCCTCTTTTGTTTGTGCTTTGCACTGAGGGCTTTGTGGCGCTCCTCACGCAAGCTATCTCTATGGGAAGTTGGAAGGGGTTAAGGTTGCTCCTAGGGTGCCCCGGATTTTGCATATGTTTTTTTGCAGATGATTCTTATTTGTTCCTTATAGGTTCTTTACAAGAACGTGAGAACCTAATTGAGGTTTTAAATGCGTATGAGGAGCTCAGCGGTCAAAAGGTGAACCTGACAAAATCGACGGTCTGCTTTAGTAAAAATGTCTCTCTGCCTGACTAGGATTTCCTCGCTAAAATTTTGGGGGTTGGAGCTCTGGGAGTCCAAGACAAGTATCTGGGGTTAACCATGGTGATTGCAAGGTCGAAGACTGCTATGTTTCAGTTCCTGGAGGAGAAGTTGTTAAGTCGACTTCAAGGGTGGAAGCAGAGGACACTCTCATGGGTGATGAAAGAAACTTTGATCAAATCAGTCGCCTTAGCTTTATCATTGCATGTGATGTCCTGCTTTAAGCTTCCACTGTCTTTATGCCGACTCTTGGATAAATATGTGGCCAGATTCTGGTGGGGTGTTGAAGGGACCTATCTCGAATAAGGTGGATGTCATGGCGCAACATGTGTACCAGTAAGCATGACGGTGGCATGGGTTTTCGTCGGTTTGAACACTTCAATCAGGCTCTATTGGCCAAGATTGGGTGGCAAATCCTGTCTGAGCCTCATTCGCTCCTGTCACAAGTTTAAAGGGAAATATTTCCCACATGGAACTTTCCTTATAGCTACAGTCAGGTCTCAGCCGTTATGGGGGTGGCAGAGTATCCTCTTTGGACATCAATTGCTAGTCCAAGGCCTCCGATGAAAATTGGTAATGGCCGGATTGCCTCCCTCCTCTCCTCCAGTTGGATCCCACTTCTTCACCCGACTGTCCCGGTTTATAATCCTCAAGTCCTTCCGGTTGGGGGCGATCCTAAGGTAGTCACGGTGATATTCTAAGGGGAAGGTAAGTGGTGTGATCGGAGTCTTAGTCAGTGGTTTGACCCATTAGTTTGTCGGGCCATCAAAGCTATTCCTCATCCTCGTGAGGATGTAGAGGATAGACTAATTTGGCATGAGACGACTGATGGGATTTTTCACAGTTAAGTCGGCATATCATCTTGCGGTCTTGCTTGATAAGTAGGGTGGCCACTGGAGGTCTGTGGCTAGCTGGATGGACAAACCGAGCTGGATCCGATTGTGGAATGTCAATCTTCCACCAAAACTCAAAGTGAGTTTTTGGAAAGTTTTCCATCGTCTCCTTCCAACGACTGAAGCTCTAATTGAGAAGAAAGTTTATGTGCTTCCGAGGTGTCTGGTGTGCTCGGCTGAAAGGGAGTCCGTGGAGCATTTGTTCTTTGAATGGCTAGTGGCCAGGGCTCTTTGGGATCTTTCGGACCTTGAATACTTGGCCAAGGGCTGGCACGACACACTTTTCCACTTTTCCTGAAGAAGTTGATGTCCATTTTACACCAATCTCGTTTGTTCATGGCCGTTGTGACAGTCCTTTGGCGGATCTGGAGATCTCGTAATTGGGTTGTCTTTGAAGGCAAACAATTTTGGATACAAGCCCTAATGAGACAGTTTCACCAGCAGTACCAAGAATGGGTGAGTTTTCCGATTGACCGATGTCAGCGTGCACTTAGTCCCCAACCTTGGTCAGGGGCTGCCAGTCATCCCCAATCCATTACTTGTATGTGGGATGGGGCGACGAATTCTGGTTTTCACTCGGCCGGAGGGATAGTGATTAAAGATCACACATAATGTATCCTTCTGGTTCAAGGGGTGCAGTTTCCAGATAATGATGACCCGATGGTGGCTGAGCTATTGGTTCTTCGGGAGGTTGTGTTCTGGTGTCTGGAATTGAGATTTATGGAGACATGTTTCCAAGGGGATGCCCAAATCATTATTGATAAAATCAACCGGCGGGACGCTAGGGATAATCGGATTGGGACTGTCCTTGAGGAGATCATCCGTTTGTTTTCGATTCACTCAACTTTTAATGTTCACTTTGTAGGTCGGAGTAGCAATATGATAGCCCACTTGGTGACTAGAAAGGCCCTCACTCTGTATCCGACTACATGTCGACTCTTTGATTTTTCAGACCTGTCTGACTCCCAGGATGTAATTATCTTTTGGTCAAATCAATATAACTTATTATCTTTTATAAAAAAAACAACCTTTTTAACATTTGGACGGTACTAAACAAAAAGGAAAAGGCTGGATCCAGAGCTTTTGGGCCGAACAGAAGAAATTAAGGGCCTCTACATGTGTATGATCACATCACAGTAGCGGCGGACACATTCCATGCATGTAGCCAAGTGGCACATTGCTGAAGTCCAGGTGGTGCTTCCTCTTCCTTCCCGATCCTCGCCAGGGAATCCTCCACATCCCCATTTTTTTCACTATTCACTTCAACCATACAAATTCTCAATACAACAAATTCCCCAAACTGGAAGGCATCTCTGCCACCGTATACACCAAAATGAAACGCTACTGGAAGCGGCAGGGCTACCACCGCATCGACGGCGCTTCTTCCGCCGCCTCGACTAGGATTCGGCAGGTCGAGCTCGCGGCGGAGGACGTCGTGGCGGATCAAGATCAAGCCCAAGCTCAAGTTTAGGCTTGTTTCACGCCGAAGAAGTTCTGGTCCTGGCTTGGTCAAATAACCAATCAATTGGCGCTAGATGGAGGAGCCGGCGCTCCCAAAAGGTTCGACTCTGGCTCTTCTATAGCTCTCCTTTCCCTCGCGTCTATGCTTGCTTCTGTTGTAGAGTAGTCGCAGAGTATCAACTGCATTGCAATTGAAATGAAAGGAAAAAGGATTAATTAAAACTTGACATCCCAATTCCGAAAAATCTCTTTTCCCCATGGCCTTCTCCGATTGCCGACTCCTTGGGAGTTTCGGTGGTGGAGCTGAAACTAGTCCCGCGACTTCTCTCTTCGTCGTCGTCTTCTTCCTCTTCGGATCAAAATCCAGCAGCCGAGGAGGAAGCCGGCCGCCAGCGATTCAAGTGAGGAGGTTGCTTCCGAGATCGAGAATTGAAGGTCCAGATTTCATCTTCTCTCGACCCTTTTGCTGTTCATCTGGGTTCTTCGTTTTTGTGCCATAGAGGCTGGTTTCGAGTTCAAAACTTCAAATCGATGGTGTTAGCTACTACGTAAGCCTTGATATGAGTATACCTAATATAATATTGAAGTCGTAGTAAATAAAGTGAATTAATTAATCATCAGCTAATTTAACATTTAAATTACTGTATTCGTAGTGAAAATATGTTAACTAGGCACTCAAAATCTCAAATTAACTTACGTTGTTAGCTATACTAGTTTTTTTACCCGCAGCGGCAATAAGCAAATTATCTCTTTTGGTAATAAAATTACATCCACTCATTTAGTGATGTAGCTGGAATAAAGTTATCCACAAAAATATTTTAAGTAAGACACTCCCAAAGATTTTACGATGATTCATCTAACACTGATACATTAGAAATAATTATCTCTTGGAAGCCAAAAAGAGGATTGGGGCAATAACGTCCTTTGGCGTTCCCACCTTCTTTTTTTTTTAATTTCATTTGGCTATCGGCAAATCCCGGTTGACAACTCAAAGCATAAATAATTACCACTTCAACCTTCACAAATTACTTTTTAATAACTGATTTAGAATGATGTTACATAATCTTCGGTAATGTGTAATGTGTGATCTAATAATATACTCAAATTACATTTCTCACATTTGAGAAACAAACTCAAATGAGGGTCATAGATCGCACTCAGACCGTCCTTTGAGAAACAAAGCAATAAAGGAAGAAAGATCGACCACCAAAGCGCCATCAAACTTCCCTCCTCCTCGTCCGACTTCACCCCCCATCAGATGGGGTCTCGACATTGGAGACCATGGAAAATCTTATCAAAGAACAAAAAAGGAGATGAAAGATAAGAGAAAGGAACAATGAAACTTCCCTCCTTGTCGCCACGACGGATTGCCCGCTAGAGGTAAAGAGGCGAAATAGAACTCAGTTAATTACCTCGAAAGAAATTCTCATTCCTCACATCGGCGACTGTCCTAAGCTTTTCTTCTTCCATTTGTCCACCATTGAAGATTGGTAGATCGCCCGCCACAAATAGGTAAGAAAGAGAAGAGGAGCAAATTGTCCACTAGAGAGAGAGAGAAACGAAAGAGAAGTGAATACGGGTTTGTTGTTGCAGAGAAAGAGAGGAAAGAGAAGAAAGGAGGATGGGTTTGTCTGTGTGAGTGAGAGAGAGGGAGAGGAAAAGATATGATTAGATGTGGAAAAAAGAGAAAAAATGTGTCAGTTAAAATAATTTACCCCCACCTCAGGTATTTTCAATTGACTCATAATGGAGCAATTGTGAAACAATTTAGTTAATTATAATGTATTTATATAATGCGTAATTTATCGAATTGAGATAGTTGTCAAAGGAAGGAAAACCTTACGATTGTGTCTCAAGATTCGCCTACCAGGAAGAGTCTGCTCTGAGGGAGAGTTAGAGACTCCAAATGAAAAGGCCAATGGGTTGTAGGGACTCGGGAAGCAACCGGGAGTCTTTAAGAGTAAATAAGGATGAAATCGTGGTTAATGTTGTGATATGATAGCCTATGTGAACCTGGAAAATGCTACCTTGTCCTTGAAGATGTGGTCAATTGATACATTGACATCGCTAATTTTTAACTATTGGTGATGTATGTTGTTACGGAGTGTCTCACCTAAATATGGCAGAGCTTCGGGTCACTAAGGCCCAGGAAGAGACATTTTGCTCTTTAGAGGAGATGAAGATCCAAAAAAAGGTAAGAGTATAACAATTTCCTCTAGGTCTAGTGGGTGGAAGGCCAAAACGGTGGGGCTCAACAATCTGTTGAGGTATCGACATAAAATGTGCGTGTCTTAAAGGCAGCTGAGACATTCCAATCTTCGTGAAGAAGTAGAGCGAAATTTATGTTAGAATACACCAAAAGAGGCCAATCAGGAGGTATTTGTTGTCGGCAAACACTGTTCTACAGTAGAGAATGCTACCCTCCACTAAGAGAGTGGTAGTCTTCGTCATCAGCTGTAGATGGTAGTTTTAGGAGTCATGGATATCCATCGTCTGGTAGAAAGGCTATTCAATGTATTGTGTCCTTCAAAAGATTTTGCTGATATTCGTCTTTGTCGAGTGTTGGAGGAATGTGCTTTAGTCCGAAGAGGAGGTAGAATTTCATCATGTCGCGTCACCTATAGGCGCAACTTTTCAAGCTCCTTCAATAGTTGGTACTCTAGTGTATTCAGACTTTTAATATCTTCAAAGAAATATTGTTGTCTATAATCGAGCTACTTGGTCCATAGTTTTTTTCGAGCTGTGTTTGATAAAGCAGTGACCATAGTACAAGAGGTTACTATCATATATTTTATAAATGGTTCCAACTATAGATAACTTGATAGAATATTCTCGAGTATGTAAGTTACTCAAGTAACTTGAGTATCTTACATATTTGAGTTGGAACCGCTTATAACTTGAGTAACTTACATATTCGAGTTGGAACCGCTTATAGAATACATACTAGTAAGTATCTTACATAATCGAGTATATTGTATAAGTTATTTCTAGTAAGAATCACTTATAATATACACGCCAGTAACATTACGTATTACGGTCACTACTGCTTTATCATACTGACACAAAAACCTAATGATGACACTACTTTTCAACCGCTGTAGTTTTTTCAGCTCTGTAATTGAATTCAGTCTTCACTTTTTTCTCTTTACCCTCTTTACCCTTCCATCTCATTGTGGATAGTCTCAAGAAAAGAGAAAGATAAAGGAGAGGGTAAGGAGGGAAGGAAGGAAAAAAGATAAAAGCGGCAAAGAAAGTGTAGGAAAGGGAAGGGAAAAGATAAAAGTGGCAGAAAGTGTAAGAAAGGGAAGGAAACACAAATATATGAGTTAAAACAGAAACAAAAGAGGTAAATGGACAATATCACCTATTCGTCTGTTCAACGTAATTTTTTTTTTGTATTTTAGATATCGCAATAATAAAGGATTTATTGAGCATGTTCACGAAAGAAGAGGTGTTTAATATTTAGAGGTGTTTAATATTTTTTAAATTTTATAGGTTGAGAATTGAGTCCATCAATTGTTCCTATACTGATAAAAAAATCAGAGTTTGTCCGAGCATTTTCTGACTGTAAGTCATTGTTAGACCTTGTCTCAATTGTTGTGCCAATAGATACTAGAGCGAAGGGGAACATATTTCATATTCCACTTCACAGTCCCCTGCTTCTTGCTCTTGTACTTCTCTCTTTAGACTTTCATTTCACACAAGAGTAATAGCAGTTCACTATCCGTCCACAGTAAATCTTTAGTTTACTATCCATAAAATAAATCCTTCCTCATCATGCGATAATCAACATTCTATGATACTGTCGTCCTTCACTGTTGTGGTAGCAAAGAGGTTTAGATGCTAGTGGGTCCTGAAGTATAGCATCTAATTCATTGAGTTTTAGTGTTTGTCCTTGGGAGAGGATGTATACTTTAGTCAGTTGCATTCAGAGTACCCGGTGAGGGGCCTGAGACGTGATTTTAAGCAAAGTGAAAAGTTGTTGTGGGAGTTGTGGGTGTCGTATGGTATGCCTCATCACTGGAGGTATCTCATGCCCAGTAGATTTGTTTCGACTGCAAGTCTCCCATCATCATGACGATCACATTTTTGCTTTTATTTGGAGTTCGAGTTTTGTTGTCTTTGTCTGTCTGGTTATGTGCGATAAAGCGACGTAGTAAGCTTTCAATTGACTCTGGTAGGCCTTTTTGGACTTTCGTAGCTTGTTTTATATTGTCATGCCATCGAGTTGGGGTTTCACAATCCTTGAGTTGTTTTATGCTTGTTTTTTTCGTCTCGAACAAGTGGCTTGGGAACTGCACAAATGCAAGTCAACCAATAGACTTTGCTCTTTGCTTAGCCATATGAAGGGATCTTGGAAGACTGATTTTTTTTTCTTGCCTCATCTGGTGAGTTTACTTTCGAAGGTAACACAGTATCGCTCGACTGGGTTAAGGTGTTATAGGAGGGTTTCAGGATCCCATGATTGATGAAGATATTGCTTTACAGCGTGACCAACTTCTTCATGAAAAATCCATCGATATAAGCACTTATGTGGCTTGAGCATGCTTGTTTCTTGTTATCTATGGCAATGGTACGTCTCATTTTTCAATACCTTCTTTTTAGGCGACCAAATTGTTTAACTTAAGTCCTCTCTTGCAGACTACTCTCATTTTAGACTTGTAGGAAATGTAGAATGGTGCAAGCAGCGTCTCTTTCGTTGTCGAGGTGTCAATTCAAGAAATAAAAAAAATTCCTCACCTGGGCAATCGAAGGTTCGTTATGACCAAACAAAGAGAACTTGCTCTTGGATGAGAGGATCAGGAGATTCACTTATTGTGAACGATTGCTCTGAGGGGAGAGTTAGAGATGCCAAAAAAAAAAACTCAATGGGTAGTAAGGGAACCTGAAGCAACGGGAATGGTTGTCAAGGGAAAATAAGGATATAATCTTGGATGGTATGTCATAACTTATGAGACAACCTTTGTGAAGTGGGAAACACTAACCCGTCTTAGAGGATGTAGCACATTATCGATTTTTTATTTTTCCTGTTTTAGAGGTGCTTTTACATTCTTCCCTTTTTGTTAATAGCTAGCGATGTATGTTGTTGCAATGGAGTGTCGTTTAGCTATGTCAGAGCTTCGGATCAATGAGGTACTAAAGGAGGCAACTCGCTCTTTGGAGATGATGACGATCCAGATGAAGATAAGAGAGATCACTTTGCTTCCAGGTCTTGTGAATGGAATTCAAAAATGGTGGAAGCTCAGCAACATGTTGAGGCAGTCACACGAGAGATGTGTATCTCAGAAGCAGTTGTGGATTTCCTTCATGAAGAAATTGAGCGACTTCACGTTAGAATGCATGAGAAGAGGTTAATCAGGAGGTATTTACGGCCAGAGAACACTGATTTACAGTGGGAGAACACCAACCTCTGATCAGAGAATAATACTCTTTGTCATCAACTACAGATGACAATTTTGGGAGTGCTGGATAATTTCTATCGTGTGGCCAGGAGGTCGATTTAATATATGTATCCTGTAAGATATTAATTTGTGACATTTATCCCCGACATATTCCTCCACAAAATTCAGAATTTGGGTTGTCGACTCTACAGATTCTGAATGTGTAGACAACGTTGATTCTGAACGTTGTGGAGGAATGTGTAGAGAAGAATTTCATCAAAATATCTTACAGAATACATGTAGTAAATTGTCTTCCTGGACAGACGATGAACTTTTTTCATCACTCCCGAAGTTGCTATTTGTAGCTAATGTCGAATAGTATTATTCTCTTATCAGAGGCTGGTATTCTCCGACTATGTTCAATATTCTACGACCGTAAAAACCTTCTGATTAACTTCTCCTCGCGCATCTTGGCGTGAAGTCGCTCAACTTCTTCGTAAAGGAAAGCCTCAGCTGCGTGTGAGGTACACAACTTTTGTGTGGCTTCCTCAACATGCTGTTTAGCCTCCACCATTTGGCATTCCATTCACAAGACGTGGAAGAAAAGTGTTCCTCTCTTGTTTACATCAGGATCTTTATTCCTCCAAGTTGCCTCCTCTTGGGCCTCAGTAACCTGAAGCTCTGTCATAACTAGGTGACAGTCCATCGAAACAACATATCACGCCAGTTATTAACAAAAGAGCAACGTCAAAATTTCCTATATGAATTGAAGACAAAAAAAATAAAGGGACGAATGTAAAAGCACCTTTCAAAAAGAAGAAGCAAACGTCGATCTTGTGGCTACATCCTCTAAGATGGGGTAGTGTTTTCCCGCATCACAAAGGCTGTCATAAGTTAAGACACCATCATCAAAGATTATATCTTTTTTTTCTTTTGACAACTCTCCCTTGTTTCAGGGTTCCTTTACCGCTCATTGGGCTTTTTTCTTTGGCTTCTCTAGCTCTCCCCTCATAGAAACCCTTTCTAGTAGGTGAAATTTCTGATCCTCTCATCTCGGAGCGAATTCTCTTCGTTTGGTCATGACGAACCCTCAACCACCCGTGCGGGAAATTTTATTGTATTTCATGAATTGACACCCCGATATACAAAGTAAACGCTGCTTGCACCATTCTACCCTTCATACAAGTCTGAAAGTGGGAGTAGCTTCAAGGGAGGACTAAAGTTAGGCACCTTGGTCACATTAGAAGGAAATATGCAAAAAGAGACGTACCCTTGCCATAGATAGCAAGAAACAAGTGTGCTCAAGCCCCAAACGTGCTAAATCTATGAGTTTCTCATGGAGAAGTCGGTCATGCTGTAAAGCAATATCTCCCTCAATCACGGGATCCTGAAACCCTCATGTAACACCTTCAACCTAGTCGGTTGGTATTGTTTACCCTCGGAAGTAAACTGACCAGGCGAGGAAAGAAAATAAAAGAAGTAAGTCTCCCAAGATCCCTTCTGATGGCTAAGCGAAGTGCAAATGTTATTGGTTGATTTGCGTTTGTGCAGTTTCCAAGCCACTCGGTCGTGATGAAATAAAAAGCAAGCATAAAACAACTCAGAGAATGGTGGAACTTCATCTCGACGACATGACAAGATAAAGTAAGCGATGAAAGTCCAAAAAAGGACTAACATAGTCAATTGAAAGCTTACTACGCCACATTACCGCACACAACCAGACAAGCACTGACAATCAAAACTCGTACTCCAGAGAAGAGCGAAAAAGGGTATGACATACCTCCAGTAATGAGGCATATCGTACGACACCAACAACTCCCGCAATCATTTTTTCTTTGCGTAAAACCACGTCCCAAACCCCCACCGAGTACTCTGAATGCATCTGACCAAAAGGGTACATCACCTCCCAATGACATACATTATAACTCGATAGATTAGATGCCATATTCTGGGACCTACTAGCATGTGGACCTCTTGCTACTAGAAAGTGGAGGGCGACGGTAATGTTGATTATTGCATGATGAGGAAGGTAAATTTGACATTTTTATGAAAGGTCAAATGAGAATTTACTTTATGAATAGTAAAGTAAGGATTTACTGTGGATGGATAGTGAACTACTATTGCTCTTGTGATAAATGGAAGTCTGAAAGGAGAAGTATGGGAGTAGGAAGCTGTAAAATGGAAATGAACTATGTTCCCCTTCACTCTACTATTTATAGACACAATACTTGGGATAGGGTCTAACATCGACTTACGGTTAGAAAATGTTTGGACGAACTCTAAATTTTTCTATCCATAAGGGGACAATTGATGGACCCAATTCTCAACCAATAAAATTTAAAAATATTAAACACCTCTTTTTTGGTTTAACACACTAGATAAATCCTTAATTATTGGATATCTATTATACCCGAAAATTTATGTTGAACAGTCAAATACATCATATTCCCCATTTACCTCTTTTATTTATTTTTTCTAACTTATGTTTGTTCTATAAAAAAGCTCATGTGTTTGTTTTTTCTTCACTTTCTTATACCTTTCCTAACTCTCTCCTTTGTCCTTTTTTCTTTCCCTAATCATCCATTTTGTCCTTTTACATTCCTTTACTTTCTCCTTCCTTCCCACGTATTCTCCCTTCCCTTCTCTATTTCTTTTCTTTTACTATTTTTTGTCTCTCTCTTAACCATGCACGGAGAAAGATACACGAACACTTTCTCCTCCTTTACTTCTCTTCCCTTCATTGGTTTATGTCGCAACCGTCCCTCGAAATCAGAGGATTCATCATGAATTGCTCGGAGTCGCCATTCATCTAAGTTGTAGTGGATCGAACACTATTTTGTCCGATTTCAACCTTAGGGTCAGAACCGGGACCTAGTCTGCGAATTAAGAGAATTCTAGGTTCGGGAGTACGGTTACGTGTGGAGAAGTGTATTTACACCCAACAACGCCCAAAAATTGGTACTATTTAAATCGATAAGTTTTTAAGGGTTGGATGTATTATTATTTTATTTACGTAGTTAATTATAAGATTCGATTAATTAGGTATTATTATTTAAAATTGATCATACGGCTATTGACATAATTCTCCAAAGTAAAGAAAGAGTTTTTGGTGAGTTGGATTCGAACCTGTTGGTTGCCTACGTGCCCGAGTAGTCAGGATCAAAGTCCACGTAGTTTGGTTATTTTGAACGACTTTGAAAGAGGAAACCTAACACGTTCTATTGATCATGTTCAAGGTTTAAGATCGAGTCTTTGAGAAAATAATTCTTATATTTTGATTTGGTAATCGAACAATAAATAATTTTAATGAGTGTGGTAGCTTATTAAGTTGTTGAAATATAAAAAGAAAAGGTGCATTTATTTATTTCGTTTTAAGTCAAGTAGCCTATTGGCTAAACGTGTTGACTGGACTTGTTAAGGAGTCGGGTTGCACGGGTTTGAGACCCGCAATAGTTGATTTTAAATTTTCGTAAGAGGGAAAGACTAGAGATGGCAATGGGTCGGGTCGGGGACGGATAGTGCATATCCGTTACCCTACCCAAAGTAGTTCGGGTTTTACCCATACCCATACCCACATATGAAACGGGTAGAAAATTAAAACCATGCCCATACCCGTTCGGGTTGTATCCACGGTTATCCATGGGTAATGATTTCTCTTCATAACTCCAACTAATATATTAACATTCACACGTATTCTCACATTACGCAACAGGAAAAGTATGATAATAATTCACTAGAATGAAGAAAATTAATTAAAACAACACAATTTCATGAAAATATTATATTTATATGCTAAATATAAAATATGTTAGAGAAAAATAATGACTATTCTAGACAAAATACATATGTATGTGTATAATCGGGCGGGTTCGGGTTGGATACTGAGAAACCCATGCCCACCCATTACCCGCAGTATTCGGGTTCGGGTTTTACCCGTACCCAATGGCAGCGGGTTATTTTAAAAGGGACAAGGGGTATGTTAGTCATTTTAAGGGTATATAGACCCTTGTACCATCAAACCCTAGTTACCGTCGTCATCCCTTCCTTCTCCCGGTCTTTCGAGCAACAAAGAAAAGAAACAGGACGAAAACCTCATACTCTCTCCCAATCTCCCATTCTCTCAGATTTTCTCTCCCTCGCCCATACCCTAATCAACAACCACGGCGAAGGAAAAGGATAAATCCTCCCTTATTCGTTGTCAACCTTTCTCCTCTTCCTCGACACCCTCGATCTAACCTCTCTCACTCTCTTTCTGGTAACCGTGAGAAGAAAGGAAAAACGGCAAAAGTGGTGAGAATGACGGCGATAGACACCATTGACAACACCAGCAAGGGTGACGGCGGTAAGGTCATTTTTATTCACATGCATGTCGATTTTAGGGGGTTTGATAATGATTTTCTTTGGGTTTGGAGGTTCTGACTCTCTTCCTTTCTGGTATCGACGAGGAGAAAGAAGACAAAGGAGCAGAAGGCGGCGGCGAAGTTGAGAGTGACGGCGATTGGCGCTAGTGAAGACGACGACGAGGTGAGAGATGACTTTTTGGCTTGCAACTCGAGTTTAGGATTCAATTTGGTCATTTGGGTTCTGATTGTAACTGTATAGTCTCGTTTAGTATTTGTATTTGTAATGTAATTATATTATATATATATATATATATATCAATGGGTCAGACTGATTGTAACTGTATACTATTCAGGTACTTCTAGTGAGATATCTCTATCTAGACCATGAATTAAACCGAGTTTGGGGTATGATACAATACCCTAACCTCTAATGGATAAACCCCAGGCTCGGGTTCCCTAAACCCAAACCCGAAGTTCAATTTAATTGAAAATACTAATTGACCGTTGAGATTGGTCGGAGCTTAGAAAAGGAGATCTAACGGTCATATCACGTGGAGTATACCAGTGATAACCATAAGATGCTCTATTTTTATGTAGTTATCCTTTCTTTAATGGTTCAAAATCAAGGTATAGTGCTCACCTGACCCAAAGTTTTAAAAGCGAATTCCACAATTCATCTAACCGAAGCATGTCTATCAGTTGTACCAATTAAGACTTGCTATTTCTAATCTCATTGGTCCAAATGGTACCAACTAAGATTTGATATTGCTAATATCATTGAGTTATGATAAACAAGACCTTCCCGGACGCTATAAATACATCTTTAGTTAGAAAATTGTTTAAGATTTGCTAAAATTTGTTTAATTAGATGTGTTTTAACTCGGACAAAAATTGGTGTCTACAATTTATTTGTCTATTATTCTCCTTCCTTCCCACATGCAAACACATGCATACACCAAACATAAAACAAACGTCCCTTTTCTCCTTCATTCTCTCTCTTTCTTTCAAATGCATTCATACTCATATAAATAAGTAACAGCCTTCTTTCTTTCATTGTCTTTCATATGTATTTATGTTCATACATATAAAAAATGCCAATTCATTCACTTTCTTCCTACATACACTCATACTCCTTTATTTTCCAATACATACCCACACTTTCTCATACACGCTTGCACTTTCCCATATACACTATTTGATGGAGAATGTTAGTGTATGAATGCTAAGGAATGTCAGAATATTGGAGAGTGTTAGAGAATATTGAAGAATATTGGGGAACGTTTGAGAATGTTGGCATAAATAAAGTAATCTCGAGTGAACTACAAGTCCTTCTGAACACTCTCCGACGAAACACAACCCTCAAAACTCTCTCTCTCTCTCTCTCTATATATATATATAATATAATATAATATAAGGTGACTACTTCGGCGCACTCACAAAAATGAGTGCGTTCAATGCACCCAACTCAGAAACTAGTCTTAAGGAGTCGGATTTTGAATTTTAATTTGTAGAATTAGTATAATATGATGATATAACATATGATAACAACTAATTAGCGGATTACCCTAAGCCCTAGAACTCCAATTTTGAGTTCTATCCCTAAACCCCAAACTGTAAACCCTAACCCTAACCCTAGATCTTTAAACTCTAAATCTTTCAAATTAAAGCAAATCTTTCATGGTTTTTGTGCAAATTCATGTGCGTTATTGTTCATCACATCATAAGTGATGATTGACATCATTTTGACACAAATCTCATGTTTAAAATGACGATTATGAAGCGAGTGCACTGAATGCACCCAAAAAAGTGAGTGCACCGAAGACGCCACCTATAATATAATATAATATAATATAATATAATATATAAAAGTTTCGCTCTCCTCTTGTTCTCTCAAAATGTACTAAATCTCTCAACACTCAACACATTCTCAAGTTGGCCGACTACTCATGAAATCGTGAGTAGTCTCCACCGGGCGGCACTAAACACTCGACGACGCTCAATTACGAGCATTAGACCGAATCAGGTCCAACGTCATCCAATTTATTTTATTTCCTTCAAGTTACTAATTTGAGCGTCGGGGGATGTCCCTACTAGGACTCCCCCGGTGGGACCTTTTTTTTAGGTATTCGCACGAAGCTGAAGGTTGTTAAAGGCTTTAAAAAATCAGCACTCTCCAGACTTTAAACATATTAAAGCAGACTGCTCCAAGTTTGACATCTACAAATATACATGAGAACCTCGTAGGTAAATGCATGAACATGTATGCATAAGAATAAGAAAATAAAAGAAAAAAGGGGGAAAGTGTAACACCCTAGCTCGACCGAGCACTAATTTTTACTAAAATGCCCTTAAAAAATAAAATACTCAAATCTTAAAATGCAGCAGACTGAACCTTTCTAAAATAAAATACTGAAAACACACTCTTGTAGTTCAAAGCAAAGCCTCAACAGGTGGGCAAATTACACTCAAACTTTGAAATCTCAATCTAATCTCCAGTATATACTCATAATCATAAAATGTAATAACTCAATAATGTCTAACATTGCCGCTTACTAAAAACCTTGACTAAAAATTCTTTGTTACCCTCGTACCGTCGTCCTCTAGTTGGCTTCCCTGGAGCTGCTTCTCCCGACCTCACTACTCTCTAACTACTCATCTAGTTCTTCCTCTTCAAACTGGTGAGTGAGTTGGGGTCAGTCTACGTCCTTCTTTTTAAAAGTCTAGCACTTATTATTTTACTTCAGACATTCACTTTAACTGGTGGGAGTTGTTTGTACTTCTACTCTTATAAAAATCTTAATTCTTAAAACTGTATGGGAGTAAAGCTCAAATCTCAACCTAAATACTTGACTGACGTGGGGTCTCTCACTAGTCCGGTTGCCCAACTCACAGGGACAGAGCTAGGGCGAGCCCCCCCCCCCCCCCCCCCCCAGAATTTTGTATACGTACATATAAATCGTATAAATTTTGGACAATTACGTATAAACTTAGGTCCTGTTCACTTCCCATTCCGTTTTCTGTCATTTTGGCAACTGAAAACGAAGGAGAAATGGAAGCTGCCATTTTGGCAACTGAAAACCTGATACTGAAAACCTGTTTAGCTGGGATTTTTTGTGAAACTGGAAACTGTAATCTGAAAATGAAAACATGTTTAGTTGGTTACTAGACCTGAAAATGAGAATCTGTCAAATTTCCTGATACTAGTACATACTTCAATATCAAATAAGTCGAAGTACAATCACAAATGTCAAAGGAGTCCAGCTTGAAAGTCATCCCACAACTTGTCCGCTATTCCATCACGTCGAATTTCCATTTGTCGTGTCCGGCTTGAACTCATACTGTACTCTTCTCTTTCTAGCCCTCCTTGCACTCCATTAACGCCATCCTCCATATAATAATTTTGATAATCTTCAAATAGGATATCTTCACAAGAGTGAATCCTAATGAAGTTATGCAGAGCACATGTAGCAATAACAATTTGTGCTTGTTTCTTTAATGAAAAAGAAGGCATATGTTTCAGAATTGGGAACCTGGCCTTCAAAACTCCGAAGCAACGTTCGATGACATTGCGTAGGGATGAGTGATAATAGTTGAATAAATGCTTATGAGTTTTGGGTCCACCACCTCGATTGATTTCTTGAAAATGAGTAGGCTCCTTTGTTCGATATGGTGCTAGGAACCCAGGCATGTTCGCAAATCCGGAGTCAACAACATAATACTTACCTACATTGTATATAGATAGTCATTAGTATATAATAAAATGAGATTTATTTATGTACAAACAATAATAAGTACCTCGTGGTGGCATCGGAAACTTGTTATCTGGATTTGAAACTGTTTCACTAAGAATTCTAGCATCATTTGCCGCGCCTTCCCATCCAGCCACCACAAAGGTAAAAAGCATATCGAAGGAGCATACACACACCACATTTTGAGTTGTTGTCATCTTTCGTCCTCGATATGGAATTTGTTCAGCAGTAGGAACACATGCATCAATATGCACTCCGTCTATAGCTCCAATGCAATCCTATGTAAACACAAAAGTGAACATGATCAACAGAAGTTGTAAATGTTGTAACAGTAACTATGGAGTAAGTATTCCTTTACCTTGAAATATGGATCATGTCTAGAACCAACAATTTTTTCAGGGACGTTATCCAAATTTGGGGGAACAATAATCTTGTTCGAAAGCTTGACCATAGCTTTCAATACTTTGTCAAAGTACTTTGAGATGGTGGCCGTTGAATGTTGAAACCTTTCGGCAACGTCTCTAAAATCATTAGCGTGACCTATAGTCTTCAGGAAGATGCCAACTTGTTCTTCAACTGTGACTCTCTTCGTGGCTTTTAACCCACCATTTTGTTTCAACTCCTCACAAAGAGCAACAAACGTATCTTTGTCCATTCGAAATTGCTCATATATCCTTTTTGGATTACCATGAAGAAGCTCTTTAACCCAAGCATGCCCAGTTTTGTCTGAGGTTCTGCATGGCACTTTTGACACATTGGATCTCTCTGTCTCCAACAACCACAAATGCAACAAGAAGTTCTACAAATCATCATCGGAATCTGTATCGGAATCAGAAGCCATTTGTCTGCATTGCAAAATAAGAACATACAATCAAACTTTATTGAAATTGTGCTTACACCATAATAAGATAATCGTTCAACTAAAACATACAACCACAATCACACAAATATTCAACTCAACAACATTGTTCAACTAAAAATACAACCACAAACATTCAAACACAGACAATCAAACAAAAACACTCAATGTCGGCGTCGTACAATCACACCAAACCCTGCAGCCATTCCTTCTTTCTCTTCTCTGTCATGCGCAGAAAGAGACCACGCTTCAGTGGATTATCATGAAGAACATCAATAGCCTTGACAAACACACTACCATCCACCTCCATCTCATCTAAAACCTTCATACACTCTGTCATAATATCTAGGTCCTTGTCCTGCGAAGATACTTCATTCATTGGGCCTTTCACAGAAGATGCAGCAGTCTTGGCATCATGCCTATCATTCTTCCTTTTAGCCTCCTCCGCCATGCTAATTATTGCCATCTCTACCGCAGTTGAATAGGTGGATTTGTTTGCTTTCCTCTTCTTGCCTTTGACCTTTGCTTTGCCCTTTGCTTCCTTGGCATGCTCTGTAGCATCACCGGCAACAACAAAACCTTCCTCATTGTCCTCTCTGCTTTGTCCACCACTGCTATCTGAGACTTCTTTAGTGGAAACAAAAGCATTGGTACCGAAAGCAGTAGTGTCACCAAATAGGATGCAAAGGTTGCTGTATTCTGGACAACCATTCTTCCTAAAGCCGGTAATACCTTTTATAGCCTACACATGAACGTTCTAATCAATTCTAAGTTCAAAATTGAAACATATATTTAATGAAATTGAACGAAATGTTCAATTACCTGCTTCGACCATTTCTCCCAACGATCGTCAGAAGCGGCCACCTTTCCTGTTGCAGCAATGAAACTAACTCCCGTCTCACTAATCATGCCCTTGAAATCCCTATGCCTTCTTCTAAGTAGATTAAATTTGTTCTTCAATTGCTCCTCGGTATAGTCCTTGTTAAACTTACTCTTTAAACCATTTTTTATATTGAACCATCATAATTTTGTGAATGTAGTAGTAATCTTGCTACCCTTCTTCACTTCCTCGACCATCAATTCAATCATATAATTCTTAACATGTTCGGGCCATACATCTTTTCCCTCTACCACCACACAATTATTATCATTGACAGCTTCTGTATTCTCCATGGGTCAAACTATAGAACAAACCTGACAATAAACAAACAATCAACATGAC